GTAGACTCATCTCGTGCTGCGCCTCGTTGCCACCGCACTAGTAGTGATATATATATATATATATATATATATATTTATATCAATTCGGGGTTCGGTGGCGGCGTTAGGAGCATCTTTTTCCGCCTCGTCTTCGCCCCTCTCTCTTTCACCTTTCCGCTTTTTGCTTATTTTGTTGTTATTGCATGTACGGGTGGATGTGTGCGCGTCATTCGTTTTTCTTCTTTCTTCCGCGGCCCTTTGAAAGCTGGGCGACTGCGCCTGCCTAGAAGTGCCCGACGGGGGAGGATGCAGACGGGGGGAGGGGGGGGGGGAAACGAGTTCTCATCAATGGCTTTGCGTGCTCCTCCTCTGAACTTCCTTCCCCTTTTCCGCCTTTGTGCATGCCTGCGAAGGAGACCACACCGGCGCGGGCGGGGTTGACGTCCCCCGTCGTGCACATATATATATATATACTTATGCGAGTTTATTTGGTGCCGCGACGACACATGTAGTGGCCCCCGGCGAAGGAGTTTTATGTCCCTCTCGTGGGGAGCTGCGGGGCGACTTCGAGTGCAGGACCCACTGCGACGCTAGGCAGCGTTGAGGTACTGTGGTGTGCGTGGGGGAGGTGTCGACAAGTCACCGGAGCTGTGTATGAGCTGCGCAGACCATGGGACTTACAGCTGAGTTTGCGGCACCTAAAATGTGGCCTCCTCACGACACCGCAGGCGTACCACAAACACGACACCCGTGCCCTGACGCTCTTCTTGGAGAGCTGCCCGAGTGTGTGTGTGTGGGGGGGGGGAAGCTGAACCGTGCTGCGGCGATTGCGGGCACGGCGCTCGCCACGGGACGAACGTGAAACGCATACGCTGCACACACGGGGGCGGTGCCGGCTGCCCTACGGCGGGGGGCACGGCGGTGGATACGACCCACTGCGAATGTGGGCGTCAGCGGCCCGAGCCTCCCGTTCCTCGCCTCACTGGCACGGTCAATTGACCCTTTTTCTGGCTCAGTCGCAGCTTCGAGTGAACCCCTCCATCCCCTTTCCTCCTCGCGCTTTCTACCTCCCTCACTCCGACTAACGCACACGCGCCCACACAAGCAAACGAAACAAGAATGGAAGTGAAGGAAGAAATTTCTCTGCTGTGGCCTTCTTCCCTCTCCCTCTCTCTCCTCCGTTTTGTTGGCTTTTTGATGTCTGGAGTTTTTTCCCTTGTTGTTTGGACTTCTGCGCGGCTTTACATCCTTGTTTTCGTTGCCTTTTGAAGTGTGATAGATAGCGGTGTGTGGTGGGGGCGATGAAGCTGCGGCTCAAGCACATAGGCGTTGCCTCCATGATTATACTTCACGCCATATTCACTGCCTTTTACATGGATGTGTTCATGCGGCAGCACATGCCGGGTGCGGACCACCGTGGGGTTGGCGCCACTAGCAGGGATACCCGGCATATCTTCTGGTGCCTTGGGCTGGGCCAGCTGCTGTACGCTGTGTGGAATGGCACGCATGGAGTCGCTTTTGAGCTGCAGGGGCGTACATGCTCCGCTCTCCTCGCCTATCTGAAACTTTGGCGATTGTCACGCGCCGGTCCCACCTGGGCAGTGTCCTTTATCTTGCTATGGTCACCATTCAGTGTTTCGTTTCTCCCTCCTGCAGTCATGTTTACACTCTGGTTGGTTTTATACGATTATTTCTTGGCGCACTGCGAGGCGGCGCTGCGGGCGCAGTCGAGGGGGGAGTTCGGGTCAACTGAGCGCGGCTTCTTCGTGTACCACGCGTTGGGTGGCGTGGGTGTCGCGACGGCGTACTACCTGGTCGAGTTGAGTGGAGTTAGACAACAGGGCGCGTTGTTTGCATTTCGGTGCTTCACAACGATATGTGGGTTCCTCGCGGCGCTGATACTCTACGCCTGCGGTCGTCAGCAGCGCAAACTGATGAAGCATCACGGGTGCGAGGATGAGTGCGGTACGGCAGGTTCAGAAGACTTTCTTCGATTTGCGCGGCAGACGGTGAATCGATGCAGCATGAAGGCAGCAATGTTGTTTTGGGCGCTGCAGGGCTACAGTTCCCTCTTTGCGACCGCGTTCTTTAATATATTCTTAGCTATGAGCAGCAACACCGTCTCCGTCCCTGTGCGGATCCTTCTTTTGCTGCTTGTGCATGCCGCACCCCACGCCGTTGTTGCCGTCGCCGCCAGCTTCTTCAAGGTGATGGGAAAGAAAAGCGTCATCGGCGGTTTCCTGGCCGCGAGAGCCGTGCTGGGTGTCTTGCTTCTTGCCGTTGCCTCGCAGGAGGCGCAGTCGTCCTTCTCTGTCATGGGCGTCAGGGCGTCCTCAAGTTTGTTTGTGCTGCTGCTTTTCTTGAACCGTGTGCTGACAGACACTGTGGGGATGATGCAGGAGTCCATTCTCTGCGACCTCGTGGACGAGGACACCGTCATCTTCTTCCGCGTGATCCCGGCGACAGACATGGCAAGGCGCCTCTTGGCGACGGCGGCGAAGCCGTTGGAGTCGGTGGCGCTGGTGTTGACATTCATCGGCCTTGCGAGCATGGGGTGCAGTCACACAAAGCACCTCGAGGAAGCTGCGGGCGCCGTTGCCCTCGCTGGTGGGACGGTGCTCTTTACCTCCTCGCTGATGCTGTGGGGGTGGCGGCGCCACTACAACCTCGAGGGGAGTCATCTGCAGTTTGTGCGGATGGCGCTGCGCAAGCGCGCCGATAAGGACGCACGCGTGGTGCTGGTCTGAGGAGCGGGTGCGGAGGAGGAAACGCGCGCGGGACGGTCCACTTCCCTCCGCCTTCTCAGAAGCGTGCGGAGAAAAGAGGTGGGACCGGATGCTGGGCGCAAAGGACGATAGGGGGGCGTCTTGTTGAACCTTCCCCTGCTTGTTTTTACGCATGACTTGATCTGTTATTGCTGTTTTTTGTTGTTTTCGTTTTTGTTCCTGGTGTTTGAATTCATAGTTTTTTTTTCTTGGTGCTCTCTCTGTGAGTCTTGACGGCATCCTCTTTGGGGCGGAAGGAAGAGGAGAACTTTGGCGGGGCGGGGGGTGCGATGGGGGCCAAACTGCCATTTCCCACGGCTGTGCTCTTTCACCGTGCGTGTGGGCGTGTGTGTGTGTCGAGGTCGCATCTACGTGAATGCTTCTCACTCCTTCTCTGACGGCCTCTCTTCTTTGTTTGTCGTTGTTGTCGTTGCTTTACTTGTTTTTGTCCCCTCTGCTTAGTCTTCGCCTAGTGAGTAACGGGGGGAGGCGGTTTTTTTTTCTTTTGCTTGTTAAATTATTATTATTATTCTCCCCCTGTGTGCGTGTTGCTATTTTTTTTTGTGCCGCGAGTTTTTGCGTCTCTGCCGGCCGGCGGTAGTAGTTGCGGGGTGCCTCTGCCGCGCCGCAGCGTTGAGAGGGGGCGATGACGTCGAGGCCGCTCACTGGCATGCGGCTGCAGGCGATGCACGGCATGGCGGGCGGGGTGCTTGGCGGCACGATGACGAGCGGCATGCGGCCAACCACCACCTCCGGCGGCGGCACCACGCTGGGGCGCATACAGGCGCAGGTGCAGGAGGGAAACTTTACCTCCACGGTGTATGGCTACATCCGCGACCACCAGTACAACGAGGCGATTGAGATTCTGCTGCAGCAGCTGGAGGAGTTCCCGCGCAGCCGTGCCGCCATCTCCCTCATTGCCTACTGCTACTACCACGTCGGCGACTTTGACGAGTCGGCGCGGATGTATCAGCAGCTGGTGAAGATATGCCCCAATGTGGAGGAGTACCGCGTGTATCTTTGCCAGGCCCTCTACAAGGCCGGCGCCTACGCGGAGGCGAGCAAGCTGTGCAGCATGATTACCTCCGAGCAGTACGAGATGCGGCTGATGAAGTTGCAGGCCTCCATCGCCTACGAGCAGGGGGAGATACCGCAGACGAAGTCCTTCCTCGAGCAGTGCCCGCCGGAGGACCCGGATGTGGTGATCCTGCAGGGGTGCGTCTTGTGCAACGAGGGCAACTACGAGGAGGCGCTGGAGAAGTTTCAGGAGGCGCAGGCCGGGCTCGGCTTCAAGCCGGACCTCGCGTACAACATCGCCCTCACCTACTACCGCATGCAGCAGTACGGGCCGTCGCTGAAGCACATCGCGGAGATCATCGAGCGGGGCATCCACGAGCACCCGGAGCTTAACATTGGCAGCAACACGGAGGGCAACGAGGCCCGCTCGGTGGGCAACACGCAGCTGCTGAAGGAGACGGCGCTGGTGGAGGCCTTCAACCTCAAGACCGCGATAGAGTTCATGATGAAAAATGTCCCGGCGGCGAAGGAGGCCCTCACCGACATGCCACCGCGCCTGCAGGAGGAGTTGGACCCCGTCACACTCCACAACACCGCCCTCGTGAACATGCCGGAGGATCCCTCCAGCGGCTTCAGCAAACTCAACTTTTTGCTGCAGAACCCGCCGTTCCCGCCGGAGACGTTTCAAAACCTGCTGCTCTTCTACTGCAAGTACCAGTACTTTGACCTCGCCGCCGACGTCCTCGCGGAGAACCCGCACCTCAGCTGGAAGTACCTCTCCCAGAAGAATCAGTCCCTCTACGACTTTCTTGACGGGCTCATCACGGCACAGACGTCGCCCGCCGAGGCGTACCGGAAGTTTGACATCTTAGCGCAAAACCACATTGACCAGCTGCGCAAGCTGACCAAAAAGCTGCAGGATGCTAAGCAGAGCCACGACAAGGAGAGCCTGCGCATGGCGCTGCGGAACTACGACGACGCCTTGGAGGAGTACATCCCGGTGCTCATGGCACAGGCAAACATTTACTGGGAGATTGAAAACTACCCCATGGTTGAGCGACTCTTTCGTCAGTCGGCGGAGTTTTGCTCCGAGCACGAAATCTGGAAGCTCAACGTGGCCCACGTCTTCTTTATGCAGGAGACAAAGTTCCGTGAGTCAATTCGCTACTACGAGCCGGTGGTGGAGGCAAGTCAGGAAAACTTGCTAAACTGCAGCGCCATCGTCCTCGCCAACCTCTGCGTGGCGTACATCATGACTGCGCTGAATGACAAGGCGGAGGAGATCATGCGGCGCATCGAGCGTGAGGAGGAGAAGCTGACCTACGCCGACCCCGACAAGCAGCCACTGCACCTGTGCATCGTGAACCTTGTCATTGGCACGCTCTACTGCTCTAAGGGCAACTTTGAGTTTGGCATTTCGCGCGTTATCAAGTCGCTGGAGCCGTACCATCGCAAGATCATGACCGACACCTGGTTCTACGCCAAGCGCTGCTTCCTGGCGCTCGCGATGCACCTTGCGAAGCACATGGTGGTGCTCAAGGACTCCACCTTTGAGGAGATTCTCGCCTTCTTCGACCAGGCCGACCACTACGGCGATAAAATCCCCGCCTCCGTGCACCCCGACCCCACCAAGCAGGACACCTCCACTAGAAACACCGTGCGCTGGGAGGCGCGGCAGCTCAAGCACCTCTACCTCCAGCTCGCCGAGTAGGCGCGCCAGCGCCACAGCCAAAACCAAACAAACATTAAAAAAAACAATGGTGGTGGCTCAGTCGCCCCATTGACGCCGTTCTCGATGACGACGATGCGGATGTAAACCATTTCCCCTTCGTGGAGGAGCAACGCAGCAGAGCCAAAAGAAAGAGCTGATGGAGGGGAACGTGAAAGCAACGACAGTACGTAGAGGAAAGTAAAAACGAAAAGAGAAAAGAAAGAAGAGGAGGAGAGAGAAACAAAGAGAAGCAGGCAAAGGCAGCCAGAGAAGGTGGGTGGGAAATCGCAGATGGCGGCTCATGGTAGAAGACGCGGAGGGGGAAGCCGCCCACACACCACTGCGTCTGTGGAGGGGAAGAAGCCGTCAAGGGAGAGAGAGAGAGTAGAGGGAGTCTGATGTTGTTTATTTTATTTTTATTGCGTTTTATTTCACTAATGTTTACCTTTTCGGCATGATTCGAGGGAGCGAGAAGGAGAGAGGGAGGGAGCGTAATCGGGTGCGTTCAGGCGCGGGGTGACACACACACACACACGCACAGGCACGTGCTTCGCCATGAAGGTAAAGATATTAGACTGCAAGAAACATGAGCACTCGGCGGGGGAGACGCTGGAATTTCAGCTGGCTGAGGTGGACAACTCCTTCGCCAATGGCCTGCGCCGTGTGATGCTGGCGGAGGTTCCGGTGCTCGGAGTTGAGTCGGTGACAATAATCCAGAACACGTCCGTCCTCCCCGACGAGATGATCGCGCATCGTATTGGACTCGTCCCACTCTATTCCATGAAGGCCAGACGGATGGAGTACGCTCGCGATTGCCTCTGTGGCGGAAGTGGGTGTGGGGAGTGCCAAATCACCGGGGAGCTCAAGGTGAGCTGCCCCTCCGACGCGCATAGCCTGCAGGTCTTCATGGACGCCCTGAAGATCGACGACGAGGAGGTGTACCCCGTGAGCTCCGAGGAGCGTGGTGTGTGGCTGCTTACGCTTGGCCGCTCACAGGAGCTGAACCTTCGCGTTGTGATCCGGAAGAACATTGCCAAGACGCACGCCAAGTTCATGCCAGTGGCAACTGTGGCAATGCGCTATGCGTCAGACATTGTACTAAACCCGGACGGTTTCGCAAAGCTAGACGCGGAACACCGGCGGCAGTGGGTGGATCGCTGCCCTCGGCAGGTGTTCCGCTACGACGACAGAAGCGGTCAAGTGATGCTCGCTGACCCCGATGCCTGCATCTTTTGTCGGGAGTGTCTTTCGAAGGAGCCACCCTTTAACAAGCTCGCGGAACCCCTTGTCTTTGTGCGCCATAAGAAGGACAGACGGGGCTACTACGACTTTACGTTCACGGTGGAGTCCACGGGGGTGCTGCCGGTGCTGCAGATTCTGTACGACGCGGTTGAGGTGTTGCGCCGCAAGCTTGAGCGGGTGCGGGACGGCCTCCTTGAGGACCCCCACGCGGATGAGATGGTGCAGACGAGGCCCATTGGTGGAGCACCGACGGCGCCTGTGGTGGTGAACGAAGACATTGTGGAACGGGAGGGGGCGGAGGATAATCTTACCTTCGTAATGAACTGAGGGCGGCAACCCGGCGCCCGCCTTAATGACGACGAACACTCACTTGTATTCCCTACACAGCGGCCACTTTGCCGTTGCCGTTGCACTTGTGGCGGGGCTTCCCTGGCGGCGGAGGCGGAGGCGGCAGGACTCTTGGGGTGCTGCAGCCAGTTCATTTTTTCTGCCTTCTGTTTTTATTTGTTTTTTTTGCGTTTGTTTTTCTGCTGCCGATACCATTTTTATCTCTTTTTTTTATTGTTGTTGTTGCTTTTCCTCCTAGAAAGGTTGTCGGGCCCCTCCATTGGGGATTCTTCCTCCCCCTGCGTTCTGAGAGGGCCTTCGGCGCTGCTGCTCGGGCCTGCCTGCCGGCCGCAGCTCCGTTTTTTTTTTTTCCGCCCGCCCGCCCGCCGCGCCTCAGTTGCGGGGCCGACATGAAGCCGTTGCCGCCGCCGCCGCCGTCGTCGTCGGGGGCGCGACGGCCGAATGCTCGTCGTGCGCCTCCCGCCCGCGCGTCCCGCCTCCCCGTCCCGCGGGAGGGCGTTGCGCGGTTGCTGGAGCGGGGGGAGCTGCCGGCGGATGCCGACCTCGAGAAGCTGCTCATCACGGACAAGTCGTTCAAGGCGAGGCGGGCCAAAGTGCACCCCCACGACGCCCGGCTGGCCCCGCCGGTGATGACGAGCCTCTCCCCGTATAATCGCATGAACGGCTTCGTGCTGGACGTTGCGGAGATCAAAAAGATACCCGGCAAGCTCAACCTGCTGGATCTGCGGGAGTGGGAGTCGGCCCAGCGGCGTTCTTCGCAACTCTCTTCCGCCTCTAACTCCGCCTCAATGTTTAGCGACTCCCACCATCAGCTACCGACGCCAAGGCGGGAGGATACGAGGACCTACGCGGAGTTGCTCGATGTCTACTCCATGCACGAGTTCATTATTCGCAAGGGCGCCACACTTCGAAGCACGCCCGAGTTTGCCTCCTTCAAGCGGCGCTACACCGCATGCTGGGGCAACGTGGAGCTGGTGATACGACGCCTGGAGGAGTTTCTCAAGAGTTACGGCATAGACCTTGCCTACGTGGATGGTAAAAGGGTTGCGGCGCTGGCCAGCTTTCAAGTAGACGACATTCTTTCGCGAGAGGAGATGCTGCAGTGTTTTGCAAATCGTGAGGAGTTGGAGCCTCTCACTAGTAGCGTTACACAAAAATTCGTGTGTGGCCTCGACGGCCAACATCTCGCGGCGCAGAAGATTCAGGCCACGTGGCGCATGTACGCCCAACGTGTGGCCTACCGCCACCTGCTTGTGGGCACTCAGGCGGCTATTGTCATTCAACGCAGGTGGGCCCTGTATAGATCGCACTCGCTGACGAGGAAGACCATCAAGGTCCTGCGAGAAACGCGTCTGCTGCGTTGGAAGCGGACGATGGAGGAATTTACCAGGCGCTGGCCGCAAATAAAGGAGGGGCGGCGGACCATTGTTCACCTGCCGTCCTTGTCGTACCCGCGGTTCCACGCCAAGCATGTGCCTTTTTACTTTGCGTTGCAGATGGGACAAATTACGCGACTGACCGACTTGCGTGATCCGTTAGTGGAGGTTATTCTGCTCGCGCCGTTTCGACCGGAGCCGGAGGTGATGAATTATTATTTTACGCTGCTGGAGGACTCGGGTGTGGTGAATCCGCGAGGAAGATTCACGCTTTTGGTCCCAGAAGATGCAAAGCGACTTCCCTCTGGTCTCAGCCTCACACGACTGGTGTTGCTCAGTTCGCGTCTTATGAAGTGTCTCGCGTCACTCTGCAAGAACAGAAACACGTATGTCGTTCCAGGTGTCATTGGCGCCGAGGAGCATTCTCTTGCTCTTGAGTTGAACCTGCCGATGCTGAGCGCCGATCCCAACATTGCGCAAGTATTTGGCAGCAAAAGTGGCTCCCAACGCCTCTTGGACCTGGCGGAGATTCCCAATCCCGTTGGCGTTTACGGCCTGCGTGACCGGCAGGAACTTCTTTCCGCGTTGGCGTCGCTGATTGTAGAACACAAGGAGGTTGCTCGGTGGCTTGTGAAGCTGGAGACCGAGTCGTGTAGTCGTGGGCACGCGTACTTTGACGTGAACCGTATTCGTGTGCTTAAGGGCAACGATGAGTCGAGGAAGAACTACCACGGCGTGCTGAGCGAGTTGACGGACCACGCCGGCAAGCGGGCACGGTTGGTGCACCTCAACAGCTACCCGGACTGGGAGGCGTACGCAACGATGTTTGACACCGTTGGTGGCTGCGTGGAGGCGGTGCCAAACCGAATCAAGGCCTCCTTGTCCGCCAACCTCTTCATTGAGCCAACAGGTGTGGTGAACTTAGACTCCGTCGTGGAGCCCATGCTGGCCCCCGCGTTCACCGTGATGGGGTGCCGATTTCCGTTGCAGAAGTTTGTGCCGTACGCCGCCCTCCGTGACGCCGCCCTCTGCGTCGGCAAAGCCGCTTTCCAGAGGCGCATCATGGGCTTCATATCCGTCGACTTTGTGCTGCAGGAAGCGGCGGAGGAGGCCGCCCCGGAGCTGTACGCCGTTGACGTGGATCTCTGCCTCACCAACAACGCCGCCGCCCACCGTTTTGCCTGCCTTGTAACCGACAGCACCTGGAACCCGGAGACGGGCAGCTGCACAATGCCGCACACGCAGGAGAGTCTGGCTTACGCGTATAGCGGCATAATTCACAGTCCCTTTCTCTCAGCGGTACGGCAGCAGACGTTTTTCTCGCTCTGCCGCTCGAGGGGGCTTTCGTTTGACCGACAGCGTCGTATGGGCCTCGTGTTTCACATGGTGGATGTGCTGCTTCGCGGCTGCCTCGGCGTGCTTTCGGTGGGCACGCAGCGGGGCGCCGTGACGCGGGTGATGAAGGAGTTCCAGAGTCTGCTGAACCTCGAGCTGCCCAAGCAGAGCGAGCACTCTGCGGAGAGCAACTTTGTTTACTTTTCTTCTGCCATTCATCAACTGATCCGGTCGGTCTCGATCTCGAAAGGAATGTAAAGCAGTGTGTGTGTGTGCGTTGGAGGGAGGGGAGGAGAGGGGGGACGCATACCCACACATTACGGAGAGTGTGCGGGAGAGAACCACATGCAGGGGAAGATGAGTGCGAAAGTGTCTTGTATACATGCATACATGTGTATTTTCCCTGTCTGTATGTATATCCTTCTCTCGCTGTGTGTGTGAGGGTGTGTGAGTGTGAGGGTGAGTGTGAGTGCATTGCTTCTCCTTTTCTCCTTCTGTATTTGTGCGTATTGTCGAGGACATTGCGGGGCTTTGTGCCCCCATCCCCTCCACCCCTTCTTCCCCAAAGCACGCTTCTCTTGTGAGTCACCCGCGCCGTAGGCAGCCGCTGTTTTTTTTTTTGTGGGGGGGGGGCATGCGGTTCGTGCACGTGGGCGAGGTACTGTTTTTGTTTTGCGGCTTTGCCCCCTCGTTTCTGTTGCTTGCCGCGGCCACAGGGGTAAACAGCGTAGAAGCAAAGTAAACCAAGCGGAAGTAGGGTCATTTCGCCCGTGCGAGGACTCACTGCAAAGGCATCCGACAGGCACACGCAACGCGGAGGAGGGGCTAAAGTGAGCGGCCATGGCAGACGACAAGGACGCCGTCGCCGTCAGTGTTCTCGCGGAGGACCCGGAGAAGAAGAAGGGCAATGACAAGAAGGCCCGCGACACGGAGCCGCTGAAGCTGAGCGAGGAAGACGAACGCATCAAGAGCCAGGTGGAGCTTCTTGTCACGCGGGCCGGCGACAGCAACCCGGCGCTGGCCGCCACGGCGATCCAGCAGCTCACCGAGTTGCTGCGGACACACACAGGGGGGAGTGTGGCCTCCGTTCCTAAGCCGCTCAAGTACGTGCGGTCCATGTACGCACAGCTGGAGAAGGTCTTGAAGGACACAACAGACGCTTCTGTTGCCGTCCGGCTTCATGACGTTCTTTCGTTTGTTGCCATGACGATTGAATTTCCTGACGGGCGCCGTGCCTCTCTCGAGCACAAGCTTCAAGGGACCCAGGACGACCTGGCGGAATGGGGGCACGAGTACCTTCGCTTCCTTGCCGGCTCCATCAGCGCGGAGTGGAAGGAGCGCACCGGAAGGGCAGAGGGCGTCAACCACCTGGCGGGTTTCGTGCAGCAAATCGTCAGCTACATGGTGTCGCACCAGGATGAACCCACGGCCGTTGACCTCCTGATTGAGGTGGAGGACATGAGTGCCATACTGCCGCTCACCGACAGCCATAACCACAGGCGCATTGCTAGCTATTTGGCCGCCGTCAGCAAGTACCTGACACGTCCCATGGATACCGCGGCGCTCCGGGTGGTGTATGACATCTACCTCAAGATGGAGTCGTACAACGAGGCGTTGTTTGTGGCGCTGCAGTTGGGTGACCGGGGACTTGTGAGGGACCTTTTCGAAAAGTGTCATCGTGCTGCCGCTCGCCTGCAAATGGCACTAACCTGCGCGCGCTATAGACTGTATCTTGAAATTGACAACGAAGAAGAAGAGCTGCTCAGTGAAGCTATGGGTAATATGCGTCTTTCGCAAATGTACCGTCATGCGGCTGAGGATCTGGACTCAATGGCTCCAAAGAGTCCGGAGGATATTTTTAAGACAGGCATTGACGGGCAGGAGTTGACCACCTCCAGTGATAGTTCGTTTAAGCTGGTGTGCGCCTTTGCCAGTGGTTTGGCAAACTGCGGTTTTGGCAAGGACACATACCTCACTGAGAAAAACGTCTCCTGGCCGTACGAGCAAACTGAAAACCGTCTCATCGCGACGACGGCCATGCTGGGGCTTATTCATCTCTGGGACCACGCGGAGGGTCTTCAAGAGATCTACAAGTACTTTTACTCGGATGCCGCCAACATCAAGGCTGGGGCCTGCCTTGCCGCTGGGGTGGCAATGTGCGGCGTAACAAATCTCTTTGATCCTGCGCTGGGGCTCCTTTCGGATTGCGTCGGATCTCCGCAAAAGGAGGTGAGTATTGGCGCCATTCTTGGCCTTGGATACGCCTATGCCGGGACCCAGAGGGAGGATGTCAGGGAGCTGTTGATGCCCATCCTGGTGGACACGGACCAGGCGCTGGAGGTGCAGTGCATGACGGCCTTTGCACTTGCCATGGTGTTCGTTGGCTCGGCAGACGAGGGCCTTACAGAGACGATGGTGAGTTGTCTCATGGAGTTTGCCGAGGAGCAATTAAAAGAGCCGGCACTCTGCTACTTTATTTTGGCTGTGGGTTGCCTGGTGCTCGGCAAGCAAGAGGTGGCCGACACACTCCTCGATGCGACGCAGACACTCTCGCCGCTTATTCGCCGATACACTGAAATTGTGGTGCGCAGCTGCGCCTATGCGGCGACGGGAAATGTGGTTGTGATTCAGAACTTCTTTCACGCCATTGCCGAGACCGAGGAGCCGGAGGAGCCTGCGGAAAACGCGGAGGACGGGGCAGAGAATAAGTCGAAGCCCGCCGATAAGCCGACTCCCTTGAACCACAAGGCTGCTGCCGTTCTCGGGATTGGACTGGTGGCCCTCGGGGAGGACATTGGGGTGGAGATGGCGAAGCGGTCCGTCATTCATGCCCTGCTTGTGGACACGGTAAGTAAGGGCGGGACACATGTCTCGGGCAGGCACGCAATCCCCCTTGCCTATGCGCTACTTTCAGCCTCCGACCCGAGCATGCCTGTGGTGGAGACGCTGAATCGTCTCTCGCACGACAGCGATGCGCTGACGGCACTCAACGCCATACTGGCCTTGGGAATCGTCTCGGCTGGGAGCAACAACGCCCGAGTCGCGAGCAAGCTGCGTAACTTGGCCTCTTACTATCACAAGGAACGCTTCCCACTTCAGCACTTTTCTGTTCGTCTGGCGCAGGGGCTGACAATGATGGGGAAGGGCCACTTGACACTGTCTCCACTGCTCAATGACCGCAGGCTGGTGTCGCCGACGGCGCTAATGGGGCTTCTTGGCTTCCTGCACAGCGCACTATACTGCGAAAAGACTATTCTGGGCAAGTACCATTACATGCTGCTCACCCTTGCGCCGAGCATCAGCCCCCGCATGGTGGTTGCCGTCGATGCACAGATGGAGGTCTTCAAGGAAGGGGTGCAGGTGCGCGTGGGGCTCCCCGTGGACACGGTGGCGGTGGCCGGAAAGCCAAAGACCATCACGGGATTCCAGACGCACACCACCCCCGTGCTCTTGAGCGCCACGGACAAGGTTGAGGTGGCGTCCGGGAAGCATCAGGCTGTCGCGACCGTTATTGAGGGCATTTTTGTTGTGGAGGAGAAGCCAAATGTGGAGTAGCAAACGCCTTCCTGCCGTACCACCCGCGCAGCTCTACAACAACAAGAAAAAGGAAAAAGAAAGAGCAGGGAGGGGGGCAGGCCAAAAAAAACGAAAAAAGAAAAAAAATAAAAAAAAAAAAAAAGAAGACGCGAACATCATCTGTGATGTTTAGCATCAGAGAGAAAAGGGGAAAGTAAGCGATGTTGATGAGGAGGAGTGTGGGGAAGTGCTCCCGCAGAGAGCTTGGACGCTTTTTCGTTGTTTGTTTGTTTTTGTTCTTTTGGCTCAGCTTGCGTTTGCCATTCCCTCCCTTCCTGCGCCGCCTCCAATTCGGTGGGACACAGTGCCGCTGGGCGGGGAGGGGGCATAAGCGATGACGCCCCGCCCCTTCCTTCTCTCATGTTTTTTTCTGCGTTTTATTTATACGCCTGATACGGCCCTGCGCCGGTGCGCGCCCCCCGCCGCTGTGCGTCCTGGGTGGCGCTTTTTGTGCCTTGACGCCTCTCTTTGTGCGGTCTGTCCTCTCTGGCGGAGCCTCGCCTGCACCATTTTTTTTCTTTTTTCGTTTTTTTATCTTCTTCTTTGCCTGCTTTCGTCGTCGCCGTCGCACTGCGCGGGCCACACGTGTGTCTGCGTGACGTCCCAGCGGTGCCTGCACATGGCGCCTGCCGCCTCCCTGTTCCTGCTGCTTGCCGTTCTGTGGTGCGGCGCACCGGCTGCCGCCGCCCACTCTGTCGACACGTGCCGGGCGGGCAAAGTCACGCTGCGGAACGCGTCCTCCGTCACGACGACCACTGACGTCTTTGGCGCGACGGCGAACGTCACGTTTAACTTCTGCGCTCCGGCGGTGGGGAGCGTGTGCGGCGCCAACAGCGGCGGCTTCGGCGCGGGGTACGTGGAGGTGGTGGCCGACGGGGCGTGCGTGGAGTCCTTCACGACGCTGCTGCGGCCGCCGGCGGCGGGCGCGGCGCAGACGACGACGTTCACCGTCGCCAACCCGAATGAAACTTCCACTTTCCGTGTGAGCGTGCAGTGCAACAGCAGCGGCGCCCCTGGCGAGGTGTACAGCGCCGGCGACCTCCGCTCAGGTGGGACGAACGGGAGCGTTTGGTTCGAGGCGGACTTTTCCTCCGTGGAAGGGTGCCAGGTGAACAACTTCTTTTGCGCCGCCTCCGACGACTGTGTGGGGGCCTCCTGCATCAACGGCATCTGCATCGACACGAGCTGCCCCATGCTGAGCTCCGTCTCGCAGGTTGCCACGGTGCCGGCCAACTACCTCTCGCTGGTGCGCGTGACGGACTGCTACGGCTTCCCTGTGCAGGGGCTCCTCGCCGAGAACATCTCCGTGCGCCTCAACGGCGACTCCATCGATGACCCGCCGCTCTCCTTCGCCGTAGACAACGTCCGCCGGGCGGCGAATCTGGGCGGGGTCGTGCGAATTACAACACTCATGATTCAGCAGAATAGCCACGTCGTTTCGGAGTACGAAGACGACCTCAAGGAGCACCTGAGGGCGTTCCTTGTGAACCTCACGGAGGCAGGGGAGAGAGGCAACTACATTGCCCTCGTCGTCTTTGACGGCTCGGCGTCGCCCGTCACGGTTCAGCCACACACTACGGACCTTGAGCTGCTTCAGAAGGCTGTCGATGCCCTGCCGCTGACGATGCCCGATCCCTTGCCGACGAACCTGTACGGCGCGGTTGTCTACGGTCTCGAGGCGAGTTACCAGATGCAGTCCACATTCAACGAGAGCACGTACACGACACTTGTCCTCTTCTCCGACGGCTTTGACACCGCCGCTCGCATCACAAAAGCAGAAGCCATTCGCAAGGCGCAGTACTTTGCAGCAAAAAATGTCACCACCTTGGCGCTTGGCATCTCAAACCGTTCAGACCTTCTCTTCTTGAGGAAAATTGCCACGTCTGGCTACTTCAACGCCTTCTCCATGGACTCCCTTGCAGACGCCTTTGGACGGCTGACAAGGCAGATTCTGACACTGCGCCGTAACGTGTACTATGTCTTGCTGTGCGTTCCCAACCGCAAGAACCACGTCTCAGTGGAGGTTTCTTTAAGCCCCTCTGAGGCGTTTGCGAACGTGCACCCGCTTCAGTTCACCGTAGACACCTCTGGGTTTACGGGCGGGTGCAACGAGTCTGTTCTCAATGGCAGCATTGTGGGGGATAATTCTTCGTTTGCCCCCGCTCCCGCGTCTGTGTATCTTCCCTCTGGGGGTTCTCTCACCGAGGCCCTGGGCCCCTACGCGAGTTTGCGCTTTTACACCAACTGCACCGCCGACGTGTGTCTGCTGGACGTTGCGGCCGACGTCCCGAAGCGGGTTAGCCCGCGGACTGTGCTGGTCCTCGTCACGCCCCGCTGCGTCTTGTCGCCGTTCTGCTTTGACGACGCCTTTGACGACAATTACACCGTGCGAAGCAATGCGTCTGCGAAGTATCAGTTTATGTTGATCTCGGGCGTAAATCGCTCGACCGTCTTCAATATCGTTTCTTTGGCACCGCCGCACTGGACGGTGCCGCCGCCATTTTTAAGCCGGAATTTATCCGGCGTGAGGGACCTGGCGGGCGAAGCAGACTTGTCTGCCATCGTCATATTGGCCCTCTCCACTCTTCTTCTCTTGGCCGCGGCTTGCGCCTGCGTCTGTCGCCACCACTGGCGCCACTCATGCGCCGCCGCGGGTGACCCGACGCCGTACAGGCGGCTAACGCCGTACCCGGCGCCACGCGCGTTCCAGAAGCCGGCGCGTCGCACCTCGTTGAATGTCCCCGTGCTGCCGCGCATGGAGCAGATGGGGGAGGAGGGCGCCTACGGCTACAGCGCGCGCTGGTCGGGGCGAGAATGAGGCGCCGCGGGTGCACCGAAGCCCCCCTGCGCCGTGGCACAAGTCCCTGTGAGTTCAAGAAGGGAGGGAGAAAAATACGAGGCCCTTTTTGTTACCATTGCTGTATACATATTTTTGTACGTGTTTGTTTGCTTCACTCCTTGTGTCCACCCACCCACGTGATTTTAGGCATTTTGCGCGGTGGCTTTTTTTTTGCCGTTGTTGCCAGGTTCCCAGTCTCCTCTTCCACTCGTTGTGTGCGTGGAGTGCGGCCCCGCCTCCCTCTCCTGCTCTCGCCGCTGACGACTTGTGCGTCCGCCGCGCCGACTGCCTCCTCACGCCTCGCTTCTTCCAATTCCGCCTCGCCCGCAGTTTACGTAAGCGGATACGATAGTCGTTTAGGTTTTATTTGCAGCACCGGGCAGTAGAGGCAAGCGGGGAAGCGTGGGAAACGATGCACTCGGAGGACAGCATCGAGCAGCTGCTTATGATGGAGATGGAGCGGGAGGTTGAGCGGAACAAGGCGAGCCGGCCGGAGCCGCACGGGAACACGACCGCGTTGCCTCCGCCCTTCGAAATCTCCCCCATTGATGACCACCTCGCAAAGAAAGAGGAAGAGGCCATCAAGGCAGAAATTCAACGCAGATTGCGGGCGAAGGAGCAGGAACGAACAAGCCGAGATAACTCGGTTTCTTCATCCTCACCTCTCAACAACTCAATTCCGCTTGCGACTGCTGCCCCACACGCATCTAAACAAACCGGAAGCAAAACAAATGCCGAGGAGCTTGCACGGAGGGAGGCCGAGGAGCTTGCACGGAGGGAGGCCGAGGAGCGTGCACGGAGGGAGGCCGAGGAGCGCGC